GAGATAATACGTACCATTGTTTATAAAGAGAAGTAAATCATACAACTATTTTAAGAGATAAGTCACTATGGTAACCATTCCTCTGCTTAAATTTAGAGAGGCAATGCCTTCTGCTACTGGAAGATTCTTTCACCTTTTAGTCGTAGATATTACAATGTCATTGTAGATTGGGCCTTGCATTTGTCTGATACTAAATAAGTCTCCATATTGCCTTACTTAATGGTAAATACTATGTCATTTTAAAATTTTTTGAAAGATTTTATTTATTTGAGAGGTAGAGTTACAGACAGAGGGAGAGACAGAGAGAAAGGTCTTCCTTCCATTGGTTTATTCCCCAAATGACCGCTACGGCTGCAGCTGTACCAATCCGAAGCCAGGAGCCAGGTACTTCTTCCCAGTCTCCCAGGGGGTACAGGGGCCCAAGTGCTTGGGCCATTTTCCACTGCTTTCCCAGGCCACAGCAGAGAGCCGGATTGGAAGAGGAGCAGCCAGAACTAGAATTGGTGCCTATATAGGATGATGGCATCACAGTTAGAGGATTAACCTACTGTACCACAGTGCCAGCCCTAATCCTATATCATTTTATGGAATACCTAATATTGCCTATGTAATCATTAAATAAAAATCTTAATGGTTGAAGCATCTTCACAGACAAATAAAAATAGTAATGAATATTTCACCCAGAATGTTAGCAGAGGGTCATACGCATCTTGAGACAATTGGGTTGTTCTGTATTCAATAATTTCAATAGTCAGTAAATTTCATTTATTTCCAGAAAGTTATTTCATCAATTAATGGATGAAAATAACACATATAACTCTTTCACATAAGGATGACTTTTTAGTTGCATTCTTTTCTCTTTTTTAAAAGATTTTATTTATTTATTTATTTGAGAGCTAGAGTTACAAATAGTGAGACAGACAGACAGAAAGGTCTTCTATCCACTGGTTCACTCCTCAAATGGCTGCACTGGCCAGAGCTGTGCTGATCTGAAGCCAGGAGCCAGGAGCTTCTTCCAGGTCTCCCACATGAGTGCAGGGGCCCAAGGTCTTGGGCCATTTTCCGCTGCTTTCCCAGGCCATGGCAGAGAGCTGGATCAGAAGAGGAGCGGCCAGGCCTGGAACCAGCGCCCATATGGAATGCTGGCACCAAAGGTGGAGGCTTAACCTTCTGCACCACAGCACTGCCCCAGTCACATTATTTTACTATATACTACTGGAGATCTTCCTGCTTTCCCATACAGTGATGGTTGTATTACATTTTTAAAAAGTTTTCCTAATCAATGTCAAATGTTTTCAAGATTTCCTACAAACTGGCAAGACGATATTTTTGTTCTTAAATACTGCTAAATTACAGTATTTCTCTAATCTCTTTTAGCTCTTGGCTTGTTGTCTTGAATCAGAGAAGTACAGTGTCAGAATAATGATAGTAATGAGAATATCACTCGCTTAGCATTTCTATGCACCAGGTCTTGTTCTAAGCACTTTATGTGGGCACAAGATTGACAAATTTAGTACAACCCAATAAAGCCAGAGATCTTGGACTTTTAAAGATTGTCCATTTGCTTACAAAAGAAAAGACATTTGCCATTCATTAAATGAGGGCATTTCCAAAAGTTTGTGAAATTTTTAACTAAAAGAAAAGTTTATTTCAGTGCAAAAACTTGTGAAATCCATGTATAGCTTTTTCACAATACACAATTCCACGAACTTTGTGGAGGTCTCCTCATAAGAATTTCTATTTTAATTCTCCCAGAATCCTTATGAAAAAGACTGTGGTGTTGTATAGATCGCTTTCTGTCTCCTGTAAGTTCTTGACTCCACACTACAGATCAAGAAGCCTCATAACTTTTCCTCAGGTGTCACAGGGAATAACATGAAATGAGCAATATCCTGAATGTTAATATACTAATTAGAGTTCAGGAACAACAGCTCATACAGGACAAAGAGAAAATTGGCTGATGAAATACATAGTAAGTTGTCAGGCTCCAAATCACAAATGCACAAGAAACCAGCATTTCCTACGAGACATGAAAATAGCATTTCAATGTTTTGCAATTTCCATGATATTTTGACTTTACACCTTATGTGAGCAATACTATGAATATATTCTTTTTTAAAAAATTATTTTATTTTTAAAGGCAGAGTTACAGAGAGAGAGAGAGAGAGAAACAGAGACAGAGAGATCTTTCACCAGCCAGTTCATTCCCCAAATGGCCACAAAGGCCAGAGCTGGGCCAGGCCGAAGCCAGGCGCCAGGAACTTCTTCTGGGTCTCCCACATGGTTGCAAAGGCCCAAGCACTTGGGCCATCCTTTGGTGCTTTCCCAGGCACGTTAGCAAGGAGTTGGAGCAGAAGTCGAGCACCCAGAACTTGAACCAGCACCCATATAGGATGCCAGCACCGCAGGTGGGGCTTAACCCACTATGCCACAGCACCAGCTCTGTGAATAGTATATGTCTACCTGAGGGAGCCTACAACCTAAATACTCCCATTTACAACAGGGGATCACACAGTTGTCATTTGTCACTGCTACTTCTTTTCCTTCTTGTAAAAAGTGAATGAATACATCATGACAACAACCAAAAAGCAAGCATGCATACATTGGTGGATGAAAGGTGATCAAGTTATTTAACCAATTAGATTTTCTACTCATACTCAACCATTTTTTTCCAGTTAAGTGTGCCCACAAAGTACTTCTGCAGTATCAGCTGAAGAGACAGACTGAAGCAGCAACAAGATTTTATCATTGCATCTGATTAACTGCAGAAGTACACCAGTGTGAGAAAGTTCCAGTTATAAATTGACTAGTTCCACAACACTTTTAAAAACCGGATAGACTATGTCATCTCATCACAAGACCATTTTGGCATTTTATTTGCCCGAATTCTGTTCTCTGCTCATTTTTAAAAATCAGCTCTGTGCAACCCCGAAAAGATGCAAACAGGTGATAGAATGTGCTTAGAGGGTAAAAGATAAACAACGACAACGTAGATTTTAAAAAGGACAATCTTTCCTAATTATCCCAGGGATACGTCCTACATTATTCATTCCTAATGTCCTATAATTCCTTGGAGCAAGGCTTTTTCAGCCAGAAAGAATAGTATTCAAAGTGTTTTGTACGGAAGTAAATTGTTTTCTGCAGTAAAACCCCAAAAGGTTTGCAAAACTCCAGTTAGGTGAGCCAAGAGCAACCGTGACTTTCTAAAAGATCCAATAATATTTCTGGCCCAGCAAGAATATGTAGTTCACAAATTATGCCTAATTACACTAAGGAAATGGAAATGGGTAGCCTCTGACCAGTGTAGGTTCAGATCATTCATTTATGTAAATTCTCACAACTCTCCGTGGAGGCAGGTAAGGGGCAGCCTCATTAATAACACCGCCCAGATAAGAACAGGTGGCTCTGTGTCCTGCCCAGGGACATTCTGCCAGGCACTTGGGGCCCCACACCTGGCCGGGGTCCAATCCACTGGCCCTGAACACACTGGCCACCGAAACCACTTTTTCATGGGCTCACATGGGCTTAGTTTATTTTCCACTTTTCTGTTCTGGAGATGGAAGTGGAAACTGCTTTCAAAGATTGGCCCATCAGCCTCTGCTTCCCAAGCCGGCCTGACCTTCGGGCGGTGCAGCTGCCCAAGTCGGTTAAAAATGGACTGTCAAGCTGGTGTGTGTTTCTGTCGCTCTGCCCGCGAACGTCCTCCCACTGATCTGTTTATCACACTCTCCTTACCCCTTCTGTTGTTGTTTTTCTCACTAAGAGTTTTGAGCCTGGACAGCTGGGCCTGCTTTTCAAGGCCCTAACCTGCAGCTCCTGCTCCTGGCAATCCCGACGGGCCCCAGAAGCACCCCCTCCCTCCTGGCAGGCCCGCGGTTCCCTGCTCGGCCGCACCCCCACGGTCTAGGGGAATGCACGCTGCTACAGGTCCCCTCCTGCCGGCAAACCAAAGCACAAGAAAAAGAAAGCTTTGTAGCTTTGGAAGAAAAAAAGAAGTAGCTGGCTTCTTAGTTCCAGTAGATTGTCTCTTTCCAGGGCTGCTCTGGCCCTCTGTGGGCTCCGGTTCAGCTCGGTGCGTGAAGCCGCCCAGGGGTTATCCCGCATAGAGCACAAAACCCTTTTCTTTCCCCCCAAGCCCCTTTCAGATCGCCAAAGCCCAAGCTGCTTCCAGCAGGCTCCGCCAGGAACTTCAGCCTCCAGGGATGCAGTTGCTCCCGAGGACCTGGCGGGTGCAGGACGCGGCTCAGATCCCACTAACGGTTTTGTTGAGCTTCTTGGCAAACTCCCTGCGCTCTGGGGCCGGGCCCAAGGAGAAGAAGGCCAGACTCAAGTTTCCCGCGGAGAAAACGCATTCGTCACAGATGTAACGGCACGCAGGGTGCCGGGGAGGCCGCGCGTGCACGCGGGGATCAGGACCTCTTCCCAAAGCCCTGGAGAGCCCTCTAAGTGGAAAAAGAGGGCGAGCTCTGGGCGCGTGCGGGAGGGGACACCGTAACCCTTGGGGGGGGCGACCGGGTTGGAGGCCAAAACTGAGTGCGCGAAGGTGCGCGCTGAATGTGGGTTTAAACCAAGGGTTGGAGGTGACACTGCAAAGCTTCAGGTCATCGTAACATCACACACACACACACATACACACACACACACACACACACAAACCATGCAATTGCAAAGAGCACGTATCTTAGCCAGGGCCGGGGCAGCTGAGAGCCGCACACTGGCGGAAGGGGTCTTATCAAAGGGTCCAGCTTAGTGGCCCAGGGGTGGCGGTCACCGTGCCCCGCGGTCTGCCCAGGAAACAGCAGGTGCGGGCCCAAGACCCAGGCTTATCTTCCACGCCCCGCCGCTTGCCCCGGGCCTCTGGAAGTGGCCAGGTTGAAATGCGACCCGACCCGGGGTGGCTGGGCGGGGCGCAGGCCGGGAGGGCGGTGCAGGTGGGCGGGCCGGAGCCCTGGGCAGGCAGCGGGACCTATAAAGCACTGCCTGCCCCACTGGCGGCGCTGCTTCGTGGAGCCTGCGCGGGGTGGGCGCGGGGCGAGCGGAGGCTGCTCGCGGCCCGGGTGCTCAGGGACTGCAGCGGAGCGGGGGCTCTTCGGGGCGTGCCTGCTGCCTCTGTGGACCTCACAGCCCTGCCGGAGAGCGCGTCGGCCCCCGCGAACCCCCGGCAGGTGAGCGCCGCCTTGGCCTTGGGAGGTGGCGGGGGAGGGGGAGAGCGGGGGGAGGGAGGATACCCGCGGGGCAAGTCACCTCCGAGTTTTGCTAACTTTGGAGTAAGTTGCAGGGTCTGACAGTAGCTGGCGTCCCCGCTCCCAGAGCTTTGGAAAGGAGTTGCAGCAGCCGGCTGCCCCTCCTTTGGAGAAGGGGTGCTGGACGCGGGGCGTTTTAGGAGCTCTGCACGTCTGGCCTGCTTTTGTAAATCTGTCCTCACCTCCTTTTCTCCCAGCACCTCGGAAAGGCCGTTCCTCCCCGCGAGGGAAACAGAGCCGTTGACTATGGTTGCAACCGGCAGTTTGAGCAGTAAGAACCCGGCCAGCATTTCAGAGTTGCTGGACCATGGCTACCACCCGGGGAGCCTGCTGAGTGGTGAGTTCCCGGATGCCCACTTCTCTCCCTTCCAGAAGTCACAACTGCTCAATGTTTCTGATCCTGGGGCCTGCGACTTCACCTCCTTCTTCCATGGAAGAGGGCGCCCCCAAATTCTCTGGAAATCCCTTTCCAAACTTTTTAGCATCTGCCGTCCAAGACGGTGAGAAACAAAAGTAACCAAAATGAAGTCCCCGAGGGCAGCAGCATTCTAATCTGCAGCTAATGGGCTCTCGGGGATGAAGTTCCTTTCTTTACGTGGTTGTGAAGCTAAGTGTACAATTCTGTACGTTTTAACAAATGTATTCACCCTTGTACCCAACATCATAACCCCCTCTGCCAAAATTCCTATGAGCCTTTTAGCCATTACTGGGTCACTACTCATTAGTTTTGCCTTTAGTTTCCTATACACGGAATCCTACAATTTAAGTTCCTTTCTCTCTAGTTTCGCTCCCGTAGTCTAATGTTGCTGAGATCTGTCCATGATTTTCCATCAGTGTATCTTTTTTAGTTACTGAGTAGGATTCCACTTGTGGATATACTCACTTTTCCGTTTTTAATGCTAGAAGGACATTTTTTCAACAGCACTGGTGTTGGGCTTATTGTCATTTGCAAGTTGCAGCAGCAGCAGTTTCTAAGTTAACACACTGCTGTGCCACTGTAGCGCTGTGTGAGCCCAGAAACATCGCTTGAACTCATTTAGAAGGTAAAGTGTTTGATGACCTAATGTCACAGGCCAAGCTCTAAACTTCTCTCTCTTCCACGTAGAAAAAAATGCAGAGCTCCTATCATCATTGTGGAGTGCGTTAGTTTCACTAAGTGGTGACCTCAGTGAATTACCTGAGGTGGAAAAGGGAACAAGTGAGGGTGAAGGCGGGTTAGGGAGGGCAGCCAGCCGGGCATCTGCCTGCGCCTGTTCCATTGATGTGTGCCGTGTGGCATCCCGCCAAGTTGTAGGATTAATTTGGGAGGTAGGTGACCAAATGCAGAGCTATCTCCTTCCCTTTGAGCAAATCTAATTTTGTTTCCCTTGTCCATTTTGTTTTGCTTGGCTAAGAAAAGCTACATAGGCAGTTATAAATAACTTCATGAACCTCAAAGGTCTTCTGCGCTCTGAGCACAAACTTTAATCAAAAAGATTGAAGCTCAGATTGGGAGCCATTCCAGTAAAGACTTCTAAAAGAAAGATGTAAACTTGATTACTCTGTGATATAGCTCATGAAGCTCACGATGGACTTGGTTAAGAGCAGTAGCAGAAATTGTGTTCCATGATACATGTATTCCTAGAGTTAGAGAAAAAACAGTTGCCAAACTGGGAAACCCCATAAACAGGTATCAAAAATAAATTAATAAAATAAATAAAATCCCTTGTACTTTGGGATCATCCCAAATGCACTTTCAGTGCGAAATCTTTATGATCACGTGAGTGCACACATATACATGTAAGGAAAAGAGTCTATATGCTATCTGCCCTATTTATCAAAACCTTTATTTCAGAGAGGAGGTTAAATGACTAGCTTTGTTACCTGGCTCGTTAACAGCAAAGGGAGATCAACAAACAAATAACCAGGATACTTGAGAGAGCTCATGGGAGACTGGAGTGAACTTTGATGCAGGAAACTTTGAAGCATGCGTAGTTATTTTACATTTTCCACCAAATTTTTGAAGACTGCCCCATAACCGACACGGGTAGACTGGGCAGCTAGAAGTAGTGTTGCTCTCTTACTGTATTTTTTTTTTAACATGAACGTTCCATTTCTGCAGATTTTGACTACTGGGATTATGTTGTTCCTGAGCCCAACCTCAGCGAGGCGATATTTGAGGAGACAACCTGCCAGAATTTGGTTAAAATGCTGGAGAACTGTCTGTCCAAATCAAAGCAAACCAAACTCGGCTGCTCCAAGGTCCTCGTGCCCGAGAACCTGACACAGAGAATCGCTCAAGATGTCCTTCGGCTCTCCTCCACGGAGCCCTGTGGTCTCCGAGGTTGTGTTATACATGTGAACTTGGAAGTTGAAAGTGTGTGTAAAAAGCTGGATAGGATTGTGTGTGATTCTAGTGTGGTGCCTACTTTTGAGCTGACTCTTGTGTTTAAGCAGGAGAATTGCTCGTGGACTAGCTTCAGGGACTTTTTCTTCAGTAGAGGTCGGTTCTCATCCGGCATTAGGCGAACTCTGATCCTCAGCTCAGGATTTCGACTTGTTAAGAAAAAACTTTACTCAGTGATTGGAACGACAGTCATTGAAGAGCACTAACAAGGAATTGTTTTAAAGGGTCTTTCTGATTGGGTAATAAAGTTATGCAGCTGTTAAGTTCAAGTCACTTGTGGTTTTCCCTGCCCCAGAAGTAAGCCATGCTCTTTCTGTTGTACACACTCATAGCAATCCAGGCTTGATTTTGTAGCTTTTGAGAAGTGACCCAAGAAAGGGTGCATCTTCTGAATATATCACATTTCTCTGCAATGGAACAAGGAAGGGAAAGAAGCAAACCACTTCAATTTCATATTGGATTCTACCACCTGTTCCAGGTAGCCTTGCTAAAAGACTGTAGAAACCAGATTTGCCTAGTTTGGTTTTCAAATTTTTTTTCCTCTAAGTTCTCAAAGTCATGCTGTCAATCACAGAATCTTGCTAAATGATGCTTTGCCCATCAGGACTTCCCAAAGTCTACACTGCCTACTTCCTGCTAATTTGCTACTCAAATTTGAAAGGATCGAATGCAGGAGGGTAGAATTAAGTGGGTGAGCTGAACCAAAATGTAACCTAGGTGAAAGTGGGTAAGAAGTGTCACAGTGACAACAGAATTGCTTCACTGATGGTGGCCTCCCCACACCTCTGTTTTAAAGAGGCAATAGAAGCTTGAACTGCCATCATTGCAACTATGGTATTGGTTAAATGACTTTATGGTACGGGATCAGCTCAGTTTCCTAGTTCCCAGGTGATGAATGTTATCTTTAGAAAAATGGCCAATGTTGAACTTGTTTGCTTACTCTTCCACTGGGTGAATGATGACTGCCTATGGGGATGGGAACCAAGGTCTCAGACCCAGTCCCTCTCTCATTCATTGGGTACTACAGCTTCTTTTTGATATTATTCATGTTCAATCTCCGATGAACCATCCTACTGTACCAGTGTTGTCTCATCTCCGGCCCTGGCCCTTCTCTAAGAATTGTAGTCTCTCTTTGAAGGATTTAGCTGCACACTACCACTTTTAATTATCAAGATGGAATACTGACAAAGTTTATTTTGCCTTCTTTTTGGTTTTCTTATGGCACAAACTAGAGAATGAAAGTCATGGTCCAGAGAACCAGTGCACACACCCAGCTTTCTTCCATCTTGAATACCAGTCCCTAGGGAATTAAAAGGCCTTTTTTTTAGTTATTATTTTATTTTTGTCTTACTCCAAATAAATAGATGTTTATCCATTTCTTCTCTATGTTAATGAGATATTTCAGCCTCTATATGCCAGTGTTCGATTCAGCAAGGCTTTCACATACTTGCTGCGGGTGACGGATCAGGAGCCAATTCAGGTCTCCTGCCCAAACCACGAGCAACACATCACATGTTACTAGTGGTGGGGACAGATGTCGACATCCTGGTGTTATTCAAAAACAGTGTGATCCTCTTGCTGTTCCTAGAAGTGACCTAAAATGTCACTGCTCAAATTAGTAACTGTGCTAACAAATTGAACTCTTGCAAGGCTTGGAAAGCTACCCCCAAACCAACCTTTATAGGATAGGGACAGGATAAATCAATGTTGCTGGCGTGTCTTATTGTTTAGGGCTTGAAAGGTCACTGTGTTTCTGTGCTTTCAAGTCGCCACCACTGACTGCCGACAAAGCTTCTTGGGCTTGGGTGTAGAACTGTTGTCCTCTTCCTACTAACAGTTGCCTGTGACTCTCTCACAGATTATACATGCTTACAAAATGGTGATGCCTGATGGAGGCTTCTAAGTTGATATTCCTGTCAAAGGAAATGAAAGTTTGTCTATTTTGACAATAAAGCTTTATATATTTTTAACCTTGTTGTGTCTTTGTCTTTTCTAAGTGTGTGCAATAATAACCCTCAATATATTTGACAACATTTCAGGGAAGATAATGAAACTGATACTCCCTTTGGACAAAGTCGGTTGGAGCCCCTACCCATCACATTCTGATGGTTATTACTACATGTGCTTATGTGTCAGTTAAGAGTAGTGTGTTTCAAAATGTTTCCACTGTACTAATACTTTTTATAGGGAGATATTAATAATTTGAGTTACTTTGGAAATTGCTGTTAAAAAAAAAAAACTCAAAACTCACTGTGTAAATAAAGCTTTCTTCTGTTGCTCTCCCTAGGACCAAACACAGATAGATGATATTATAAGATCAGTGTTCATGTTTGCTTTTTATCGGTATAATCTATTTGAATAGCATATCTTCCTAACCCCACTTTTAATCCACAACTTGAATTTTTAAGCTTTTTCACCTATTTTTTTCTGACTCCTTGAATTTATGGTCAGGACATTAGATTAGATTTCTCACATCAGACAACCACATTTAACAAGACCTGCCAATGCCCAGTGAGTGCTAGATGCTTTACAAACTTTATTTCCTCCACAATAACATAACAAAATGGAACCACCATCAACTTCATCCGATAGATAAATGACCAGGCGGAAGTGAGTTATTTTCCTGAAGTCACCAAGTCATGCAGGGGCCAAGGCAGAGAGCTAAGCTGAGTCCAGAGGCTGCAGTTCTCATTGTGCCCCAGCCCCACACTTTGTGCTGCTTCCAAATGTGCAAGGCAGCCGGGAGAACTGTGTGCAAATGGTGTCCGCAGCATTTGCCCTTGGGTTTGAAAATGGAATTCTTAATGTGGTTTCCTTTGGAATAGGAAAAATGAGGAAACTATTGACTCTGTTCCCCAATTCTTGGAACAGAATCAGCATAGATTAAAAAGCTATCCAAATGTGAAAAAAGACATGCATTTCTTTTATTTATTTTGAAAGGCACAGTTTCAGGGAGGCAGAGGTAGAGGAAGAGAGAGAGAGAGGTCTTCCATCTGCTGGTTCACTCTCCAGATGGCCACAGTTGCCAGAGCTGAACCGATCTGAAGCCAGGAGCCAGGAGTTTCTTCTGGGTCTCCTACACAGGTGCAGGGGCCTAAGGACTTGGGCCATCTTCTACTGCTTTCTCAGGCCATAGCAGAGAGCTGGATCAGAAGTGGAACAGCTGAGACTTGAACCGGTGCTCATATGGGATGCCTGCATTGCAGGTGCTGGCTTTTACCTTCTGTGCCACAGTGCCAGTCCTAAGACATGCATTTCAATCATGGCAACTTCACACCTGTCCTATGCAGTTGACCTAGCTACTCTTTTATGTGCTTTCAAAAAAAAAAAAAAAAAAAGAAGGAGAAGGAGAAGAAGAAGAAAAGAAAAAGAAGTGCTCTGTCCCCTGTCTGAATGGGAAATAAACTGTTAGGTCAGGGGTATGATGGTGACTTCCTGAGAGAATGGGCTCTCATTTTCTCCTTCTCAGTGGAAAGACACCATTTTACAGGAATAGATTCCATCTCCTGATCTATTTCACCAGCAACCTAATCCACTTGTCATCATAAAGTCAATTTCCAGCTTACACAGAAAATGTACAAGTACAGAGATTTTAAGTCTTTGGTATTTTGCACATAGTTCACAATTATCTTTATTAGTTTAAATAATAATCACAACGCTACCTAAAAGTCCAAAGCACGCTGGTAGCTTATGGGGAGAGAAGGGTACATGATGAGGAGTTTCGTGAAGTTTTTCAGAGCCTTGGACTCCTGCCTAGACTCTGCCATTGATTAGAGGTTTAAAAGACTCCATTGCAGCCTCCACATTTGCCACAGCCAAGAAAAGAGATGGTGAAGAATCTCACGGGAAAATTTAGGAGCCAACTGTGGAAAAAGTACATCAGCTTCCAGCTATATTCACGTAGAACCCAGTCCATGGCTCTGTTTAAGTGCATGAAGATCTGGGAAAGGTGGTAGAACAGTGTGCCCAGAAAGAGATGGGCTTGATGAGCTGCCAACATGGGGAGAGAGAAGTTTGTCAATGGAACTCAGTAGAGAGACCAGACACAGACCTGTCCACACATGGAAAGTTGATTCACGGCAGAACTGGCATGTTTGAAACAAAATAAAGGGAAGGATTTTCAAAAACTGGTACTACACCATCACTTACATGAAAATGAAATAGAATGCAAGTGTGTGTGTGTGTGTGTGTAACAACCAATTCCAGGTTGCTTGAAGAATTAAACAGGAAAGGGAAACTTTTAGAAGATAAAAGAATTTTTATAACTTTGAGAAAATTTTCGCAAATAAGATATAAATATGCGCTGAAATACGTGTTAGCAAATAACCGTATAAAGAGTATCAAAATAAAACTTCAAAATGGTTTAGCAATGTGGCATAGTAGGTTAAGCTGCTGTTTGAGATGCTGGTGTCCCACATCAGAGTGCCGGTTCAAGTGGCAGCTACTCTGCTTCCAATCTAGCTCCCTTCTAATGCCCCAGAAAAGCAGCAGAAGATAGTCCACTTGCACTCCCTCCACTCACATAAAAGCCCTGGATGAAACTCTAGGTTTCTGGCTTCAGCCTAGCTCAGCTGCAGCCATTGTGGCCATCTGGGGAGTGAACCTGCCCATGGAAGATCTGTGAATGATTCTCCTTCTGTCTCTGCATCTCTGCCTTTCAAATAAATAAATAAACCTTTATAAAAATTAAACTCAAACACTGGATGACAATATCTTCAGCACATACAAAAGAAAAAGGTTTGGTAATAAAAATATGTCAAGAATTATTTTAAAGCCACAAGAAAAACACAAACAACCCTAAAGGAAACATATGGGTAAAAGCATTAATAGGCACCTCACAGAAAGAGAACCCATATCTACCTGAAAAGATTATCTAACTAGTAATCAAAGAATGTACACTGAACACATAGTAAGATATTAATGTATACACATCCATGTTTGTGAAAAAAAATGGTGATTACAAAAGTTGGTGAGAATATGAGAGAAAAAAAAATCACATCAAAGTACCAACATGTGTATTTCTGCAGTCTGGTATTATTTTGAGAGTTGATGATAAGCATGTCTTATGAACTGCCAATCCTATTTTAAGTTATCAAACTTTTTTCTTATTGCACATCTAAAAGAATATAGTGAAAGTATACCTCTGCCATATTTTTGAAGTGCCATCCAAATTTTTCATCCTGTTGCAAAAATGGCAAAAGATGTAAACTCCATTATGTGGTAACTTCTGGCCTTTTTAAATAAAACTATTACATCATCTGTTAAATGT